TTAAAGTACAATGTAGAGTAGAATTTGTGTCACAAGAGTAGGATTTTCATTTCGTATTTTCGTTGGTCGTTCGGAATCCTACTCAATCTTGTTTTTTTAATTTTTTATGTTTTGTATCCTCTTCTCTCTCTCCTATAGTTGAGTTATGCTGATATGATGAAGAGACTTGATCCGTTACGTAAAGAATTGAAGGATTTGGAAACCAAAGCTGAGGACACTTGTCAAAAAGGAGAAGAAATAAAAAAAATAATAGCAGAACTTGAAGCCTCTATAGCAAAGTAAAGAACAAAACAAAATACATTAAAAGTGAAACTTATATTTTTAATTTTATTTCTTTACTTAGATATAAAGAAGAATATGCAATAGTTATATCTGATGCTATTGTTATTAAGAATGATTTATCGACTGTTGAGAAAAAGGTAATCAAAGTACAATGTATTTTAATAGTTAAAGATACATTAATTATCTTTTATTACTAATTTAATTCATTAATTATTCATTAGGTGAGTTCCTCCTTCGTTTGTGTCACCTTGAGAAGAGTCTCCTCACTGCATTGAACGAGGTCAAGGGTCGTATCCTAGACAACAGCAGGTACCCCCAATTCTAATAATAGTAACAACACATCTAAATATAGTAACAGCTATTACATGATGTAATCATTAATGTGTTTATTTTTAGAATCATCACTAATAATAGTAATAACACTTCTAAATATAGTAACAATTATTACATGATGTAATCTTTGTTGTGTCTATTTTTAGAATCATTACTGAGCTTGAGACTCTTAAGGAAGGGGCTGCAGAAGTTCAGAGGAAGATGGAGGAGACTGATACTGTAATGGCTGAAGTTGACAGAGTCTCCCAGCAATACCTGCCTCTCTCCACCTCCTGCTCTGCCATGTACTTCACTCTGGAGTCACTCAATCAGGTAATTGAAATCATGTGACTGTCGTGTGATTTAGCGATACTTTATTTTGATGGTTTTGCTTGAAAAGTACATTAGGCCAGCTTTTAATCAGCAAATTTGTCCACGCATGTATTACTAAACATTTCACTATTGAAAATTTTGATTGCAAAATGCCAGAAAGAATTAATGTATTATTATCTTAAATTAGTTGTTTTTATAGTGTAATTGCTCATTCCTATTTCTATTTTTCCTTCTTTTATTCTTAGGTTCATTTCTTGTACCAGTATTCCTTCCAATTCTTCCTGGACATATTTCAAAATGTACTGACAGTCAATCCTAATCTGAAGGGACAGTCTGATTATGCTAA